AATAGATATAGACTTTGTGACATTTTTCTAGTTCTCCATTGAATCTGGAATGATGATATAAATATTTTAAGAATGATTAAGAAATGAATACGTCTTGCATCTTAAAATTGATTAAACTCTGTGGTTGAATTAGCTTGATTTTGACATTCAGAACACCTTGAATAGCTTTATATAATCATACGGTTTTCTAAAATATGCAGTTTTTTCAACATGGGTAAAGATCATACTATGGTGACATGGTATACATTTACAGCTTTGACCTATTTTGAAAACAATGCATAAAATTACTTTTCAAATATTGTTGCTCTTTCCGAGCACTTCCGATCATAAGTTTTTAGTTTCGCATAAGGCTATAAATCTGGGGTATTTGTTCTCTCTCCTTTTCTTTCTCTCTTTTTGACACCTACTTGGGCCAAAAATCAAAATGGAATAAAATAAGATTTTTTTTAATTGATAAACTTTTTAGGATTTTATTATGTGTAATTCATACTGCAGCTAGAATGATATCCCTTCCAGATTTGTAAAAAAAAATGTTTACTCACAATCATGTCTTTCATATCAACTACATCTAATTACAAAAAGACAGTCAGAAGTCTTTTTCATGATTTGTTACAAATGTCATATGGAACTCCTATAACTCAAGAACATGTAAGTTCTTTACTTAAATCGCTTAGAAAATACACGACTGTCTTCAGAGTATGGAAAAATGAATTAAATTATGATTAATAATTTGAAAACAACTCACTGAACCCTCATCTGATTTGTTGAGACAGGTAAATATAACCCTCAGGGTATAATTATCATACATGAGCCTACACAAAAAGTTTTATTTTATATGAAACTTCATCATATAGTGTTAATTCAAGTTTGTCCAAATCATGACTTTCATGGGTAGGGTGGCGTCACAATAGGAATCCAAGTTTTACATGGGAATATATATGAAAAAGTCTTTAAACATCTTCTCAAGAACCACTGGGCAAGAAAAAATTAAACTTCTGCAAAAACTTCATAACATAATGTGGAATCATACTTGTTCTTTCAAAACTCTACTCCTTCAAGTAGCTTTGACCCTGGATTTCATTAAAACTTGCAGCGCAAGTAGATTATACTAAGATAAATAATTCTGTTTATCGGTTTTTGATTTCCTTGAACACTGTTGGCATGTTTAGTAAAATAAGATATTTTTTGGAAAGTCATTCTAACCGCTACTCCTCCTAGAGTTTTGGTTTGATAACGATGACTTTGTGCACAATCAGCCTTTAATTAATAATGTAAATAATTCAATATTTATCCGTTTTTTATTTCCATGAATGAAGTTGCCATGGTAACTAAAAATAGGTTAAACATACAGAAAAAAATCTTTTTTCGACACCTACTCCAACCCCAAGTTAACAATGAAAATTCCGAAACCTTATTGCACATCTACGGGACACGATCAATCATCTTCCAAAAGATGATAAGGCTACTGCATAAAATTTAAGAGGAGTTCCGGGAACCAGGGTCTTTTTAACAAAAACGTCATTTTTCACCCCAATTTGACCCTAGGGTGAAAATGAAAATTATGAAATCTTATTGCACATCCATAGGACACCACCAATCATCTTCCAAAAGATGATAAGGTTACGTAAAATGTAAGAGTTCTCAAGGTCTTTTTGTATTAAAAAAAAAAAGAAGAAGTCATTTTTGACCCCACAGGGTGAAAATGAAAATTCTGGTACTTTATTGCACATCTACAGGACAACGATTCATCTTCCCAAAGATGATTAGGCTGCTGTGTAAAATGTAAGAGGAGTTCTGGGAACCAAGGTCTTTTTGTATGAAAAAACGTCACATTCGACCCCCAGGGTTGAAATGAAAATTCCAAAACCTTATTGCAAATCTACAGGACACCACCAATCATATTCCAAAAAATGATTAGGCTACTGTGTAAAATGTAAGAAGAGTTCTATGAACCAGGGTCTTTTTGTAAAAAAAAAAAGAAAAAAGAGAGAAGTCATTTTTCACCCCCATTTGACCCAAGAGTGAAAATGAAATTCAATAATCATATTGCAAATCTACAGGACACCACCAAACATCTTCCAAAAGATGATTAGGCTACTGCGTAAAACATTAAAGGAGTTATGGGAGCCAGTGTGTTTTTATACCCGTACTTTCTAAAGAAAGTTCGGGTATATTGTTGTTACTCATGTCTGTCCGTTCGTCCGTCCGTCCGTCCGTCTGTCACACTCTTATTTCTCAAACTCCTCTTACATTTTACAAAGTAGCCGAATCATCTTTTGGGAGGTGTTTGGTGGTGTCATGTAGATGTGCAGTAAAGTTTCGGAATTTTCATGTTCACCCTGGGGGTCAAATGGGGGTCGAAAAATGACGTTTTTTATGCAAAAAGCCCCTGGTTCCCTGAACTTCTCTTACATTTTACACAGTAGCCTAATCATCTTTTGGGAGATGGTTGGTGGTGTCATGTAGATGTGCAGTAAGGTTTCAGAATTTTCATTTTCACCCTGGGGGTCAAATGGGGGTCGAAAAATGACGCTTTTTATGCAAAAAGCCCCTGGTTACCTGAACTCCTCTTACATTTTACACAGTAGCCTAATCGTCTTTTGGGAGATGGTTGGTGGTGTCCTGTAGATGTGCAGTAAGGTTTCAGAATTTTCATTTTCACCCTGGGGGTCAAATGGGGGTCGAAAAATGACGTTTTTTATGCAAAAAGCCCCTGGTTCCCTGAACTTCTCTTACATTTTACACAGTAGCCTAATCATCTTTTGGGGGATGGTTAGTGGTGTCCTGCAGATGTGCAGTAAGGTTTCGGAATTTTCATTTTCACCCTGTGGGTCAAATGGGGGTCGAAAAATGACCTTTTTTAGGCAAAAAGCCCCTGGTTCCCAGAACTCCTCTTACATTTTACACAGTAGCCTAATCATCTTTTGGGGGATGGTTAGTGGTGTCCTGCAGATGTGCAGTAAGGTTTCGGAATTTTCATTTTCACCCTGGGGGTCAAATGGGGGTCGAAAAATGACGTTTTTTATGCAAAAAGCCCCTGGTTCCCAGAACTCCTCTTACATTTTACACAGTAGCCTAGAATCATCTTTTGGGAGATGGTTAGTGGTGTCCTGCAGATGTGCAGTAAGGTTTCGGAATTTTCATTTTCACGATGGGGTCAAATAGGGGTTGAAAAATAATGTTTTTTATGCAAAAAGTCCCTGGTTCCCAGAACTCCTCTTACATTTTACACAGTAGCCTAATCATCTTTTGGGAGATGGCTGGTGGTGTCTTATAAATGTGCAGTAAGGTTTCGGAATTCTTATTTTCCCCCTGGGGGTCAAATGGGGGTCAATTTTTTAAAAAAAAATATTTAACACGTTTAAACATCCTGGTTCCCAGAACTTCCCTTATATTTTATGCACTAGCCTTAAATCATGATCATTTGGAAGATGATTGATTTTGTCCTGTGGATGTGTAAAATGGTTTTAAAATTTGCATTTCCATGTGGATAGCAAATAGGGGCAGGAAAAAAAATGGCCCCTCCCTAACCCATGGGGTCATGATTTGTACAAACTTGAATCTACACTTCTTGGGAATGTTTCCATATTAATCATGCTTTTGTTGTTCTTAAAAAGAAGAATTTTGAAGATATTTTTTCCTTTTAAATCTCTATAAAACTTTGATCCCTTATTGTGGCCTGACCCTATCCTCGGAGGTCATGATTTGAAAACTAGAAATATGTCCATAGGACATAAATGCCCCGCCGAATGTATATTACTAATGCAACATGAAAATTTGTATGAGTGTATGAAGTTTGATGAGAATATCTTGAACAGTTTCTTTAAAATTGAAACTCAAATCTAAAAAAATGGATATAGATGATAAATTCTCACAAAATTATCTATAAGTGCATGCTTACATAAAAATATCTTAGATTGTTTCTTTAAAACTAAGCAAAATACAAATTAAAGAGAAGGGAGGTCAAGGTCACAGGAAAGTGCAAGGTGAAAAGTTTTTGATGCAGTGGAAGAGCTCTCACTAATACATATCAGTATATTAGGTTTGATAATTGACTAAATTGACAAAAAAGTAATGAATTAAGTTTTTCGATGTATTTCATGAAAGGACATGCTATGAAATATTGTATATATAATGCTAAATATTTTATATTATTTACATTTGCTGTGCTTTTCTACTAAGCCAACTGTGAAATTGATTTGAAAGCCATTTTTGTGTATACTGTAACTCACGCATAGAAATATCGCGTTAAGTACTTTAAGGCTTCCCAGAGAATATCACAGTGTACTCTGTGCCTTCACTTCTCTGAACTACAAATGTATGACGCCATAATTGAAAATGTCGTCAAGTCACTTCACACTTTAGCCTGGTCCCCTGACTCATCCTTGCCAAGGCAGGAGAGCCAGGTGGATTACAATCGATGCTGTCCCTGATACTGTCATAATGAACTTCTACACCGGAAGCGCAGCGAAATACGACGTCACAATGGGCTCAGATTCAGGGCAGACTCGCCCTGAATCCATTGTAGTCCACCTGGCCCTAGTGACGCGGAGTACACGAAGCAAAACTTTGCTTTGGTGATGATTTTACAAATTGAAATATACCGCTTGTGTTATTTTTGACTTTCAATCAAAATTTAATTGAATAACCTATTAAATTCTCAATATAATTATTATAATGTAATAGTGTACTGTTGTTTCAACAATATACTTGTTATTTCAACACTATGGAATTAAATACCCTGTTAATTAGGCGTAATTTTACGCAGATGTAATTGGTTGCTCTGTCCACCCTATAGCCGCTTTGATGCATGTTAATAATTGCTTATCAAAGGAGATTTTTTTTTTTGCGATGCTAGAAATTAAAATGGTACCAAAGAAATTTTATTCATTTTCGAAATGGGTTCTGACGAGTGCGTTGTGTGTTCGCGGAAGGTGTCTACCAGACAGCATGCCCTCCAATGTGACAGTTGCAGCTTATGGCAACATAGAGTGTGCAATATGGGTATGTATTATTTTTATTAATAATAGAAATTGTTTTAGTGTTAGTAATTGAATTCCAAATGCTTAAAAATAAAATTTGAAATTTGTCAAACTGAATTATTACACCATAGTATTTGACTATAAGTATCTTCTTATGGCAAGTTTGTATTAAGAATTAAAAAACTGAATTAGATTGGGTAAATTGTCTCAGAGTGTGTATTAGTAATTAAATATATATTTTATGATGACCTGTGTACATGTATAATGCAATAATAGAAAAGTTTGCTTGAAATATTTTAGTTTAGTTAAGTTTAGGAAGTTAGTTAAGTTTAAGAAGTATTTCATTCATGATATACAAAAAATGAATATGTCTTTAGATAGTGTCTAAATACCTGCCAAATATCTAATAAATGCTTTATGTTGACAATAAAGACTTTCCTCATAATATTCAATGTATTGAGCTTTAAATGTGGACTATATAGTAACTTTTGTATAATCAAGTTATGATTATGGTTGATGATGTTTAAAAAAATGATATACCGAAAAAAATTAGTGTTGCCAAAAAAAACATTAATTGTCAAAAAAGAATTTCCGAAGTGTAAAACAATATCTGATTACATTTGTGTGACTAGAATGCAAATGTGCAATATGATGATAAAAGTGAAAAAAATGTTATAAGTAGTCGAATTTTTCCAATTACTATATTGTGCATTTTTATAAAACTGGAATACCATTGACACTTATCATCATCCATGTACATGTGTATATACACAGATATTTCTATGGATATCCATGTTTTGATAGCAATTAACAATAAGCAACATATCCCCTTCAGTCTTATCAAAGCAATTTACAGTTATCAGAGCAAAGGTGTTTAGAAATAACTTTAATGTTAAAGACATTATCTTGTTACAGTCAGATTAAAATTTATTAAATATACAGTATATATGTTCATATTAAAAGAATTTTATTAGTAAAACTTTATATGAAAAATGAAAATATCACTACATCCTAAAAAACTTTCTATATATATATATATATATATTCAAGTGCAATTTATTCTCATTACCTGTATTTTTACAGAAAATCAATGCAGAAAAAATTAAGATAATCAGTACATATTTTATGTTAAATAGGTATTTCTCAACAAGAGTACCGTCAGTTGATGAGAAGTGATGAAAGCATCAATTTCACCTGTACAAGATGCAATGAAGAAGAAACACTAAGGTAAATTATTGCACGACATCCTCAATGAAATATAAAAGTCCAATGATTTTTTAAAAATAAAACTGATTTTGAATAAAAGTCTTTCTTCTTAATTTCAGTTAAGTTAGTCAGTAATTATTTTCTGATAAATTGTGTCAAACTTTATGAAAATTGATCCTATGTATTCTTTTATACAGTGGTCCTGCTCATTCCACCCACATTGAGGATTCGGGAAATGTCAACTTAGAATATGGGCAGTTCAACATGTCCAACATCAGTGCTGGAGGTAACACAACAGACCTCAACAGGACATACACCATTGAACCTGCAATGCCAATGCCTGATGCTGCCTCTGATGTGGACCCCACACCACCTGAGCCTGCCTCTGACCTTGAGGATGTGGACCCCACACCACCTGAGCCTGCCTCTGACCTTGAGGATGTGGACCCCACACCACCTGAGCCTGCTCTGAATCTAACTACCACCTTTGATGTGTCAAGAGGGCAAGAGGACAACGATGAAGAAATTGCTGAACAGTAAGATTACAATATCTATTAAATATTCATCAGAGTTGTAACTATATATATATATATATATGAGTTCTTACATGTAATATTAAAGCATTACATTATGAAAACTACAATGAGTCAATGAATGATACTAAAAAGTTTTTTTACATGTTTGTTTACTATCACATTTGAAAAAAGACAAAATAGATGTTAAAACAAACAATTTGTTTTCATTTCATAGCTCCATACAGGATCCGGATCTTCCAGACACGATTCTACCAGATGTTCCTGTTATCATTATTGGACTGCACATGGTGTATGAACATCATTATTACCAGTTGGAATATTAATATTTAGCGTGTGTTTTAAATGGATTTTTTATTCTATGAAGTTAACAGTACCTATAACAGGTGGTAGGTACATTATGAATATATTATTTTAAAAGTTTAGTATAGAATGGGGTTTGTTTGTTTGTATGTCGTTTAAGCGTCCCTCTCGAGAATTTTTCACTCATATGGAGACGCCACCACATGCCGGTGGAGGGCTGCAATTTTTAACCTATGGTCGGCACTTAGGGCCATTGGGCAGTGAGGGATCTTTTTCGTGCCAACACCTAATGCGACACGGGACCTCAGTTTATACAGTCTCATCCGCAGGACTGGTCTCCACGTCCCGCAGTGGATTTGAACCCGCTACGTAAGGATCAACTCCTTACTCTGCGACTCTAGAGCAGACGCTCTAACCACTGCACCATGCGGGCAACTAGAACGGGGTAAAATAATCAGAAATGAAAATGGTTAGGAGCCTATAGTTGGAAAAGGGTCAAAGATCATTGGAATCTCACAATTAAACAAATTATTCAATGAGGCAAGTCCCTGGGGGTCATTCCCACTCTTTGGAACCAGAAACAATAAAATAGATTTCATTAAAGCAAAAGCCCCTAAGTCATCTTTGTATTATGACACACTAAATAGGATATATGGGGTCATGACCCCCGGAGGTTATTTCCAACCCCTACAACTTCAACTGATCATATATCTTGAAAATGGTTGAAAACTCCCTTAACTATATATAATATTGTCCCTTGAGTCATTATGCATTAAATTGTATAAAGGTTATGACCCCTTGAAGTCATCCTCACCCCTGAAACTGGAAATGATCATAATATGACCTGCGTCAAAAGTGTGTCAGTGATAATCTGCTTGACATTTTATTCAGGACCCTTTAGGGTCAGCCCACCCTCCTAGAATTAGAAAATGAAAATCATTCAGAAACTTGCCACTTAACTTTGTGTACATGTAAATTTTGTATTATTCACAATTTGTTTTATACCAAAACCAGTTATAAATAATTGTATACATAAATGAGCCAGGTGCTGGGAAGGGGGAAAAGGGGAAGAGTTATGTCTGCATGGTCTTAAATGTTGAAAACGCCTAAAATTTGTGAATATTAACCCGGCCGTTTCCCACTTGTCATCATTATTTACTAATCTTCTCACAAGATACATGTGTCTTTATAAGATAAATAGATAATGGACTTTTTGGACATATGGCTAGCTCTCCTTTGAATCAGGAATGATGATATAAATATTTTAAGAATGATTAAGAATTAAGGTTCATGGATATCCTGAAAAGAGAGATAACCCTTGACATTTATGTTTATTATTCCTTTATAAATTGGTCACGTTGAAGTGTCTTTTTTGTCCAATTTTGCCCCCACAAGCTATGCTATAATTGTTTTTATTTTACTTCTGGCTAAAACACATTTCTTCTGGGGTTGCCCGCGTGGCGCAGTGGTTAGAGCGTCTGCTCTAGAGTCGCGGAGTAAGGAGTTGATCCTTACGTCGCGGGTTCGATTCCCACTCAGGGACGTGGAGACCGGTCCTTCGGATGAGACCGAGGTCCCGTGTACCAGTAGGTGCTGGCACGAAAAAGATCCCTTACTGCTCAATGGCCCTGAGTGCTCAGTATAGGTCAAAATTTGCAGCTCTCCACTGGCAAGTGGTGGCGTCTCCATATGAGTGAAAAATTCTCGAGAGGGACCTTAAACAATAAACAAACAAAAAAAACCCATTTCTTTTGGAAATCAACATTTTATATAAGTGAGCAGAGGGTTTATGAACCTTAAAAGCGGTCTTGCACAATCTCTTACAATTGATTAAGCTCTGTAGTTGAATTAGCTATACTGATACAGCTTGGTTTTGCTATTCAAAAGACTTTGATTTAGCTATTTGTCATACATTTTTTATGTACATTTTTATCAATATAGATAAAAGTTGCACTATGTTGACAAGGGTATAAATTTTAAATTTTCAGCATTGAGTTTGGCAAAAAACTGGGAAAATACTCATATTTCCCAGGACAGTGGGAAATACTGGTAATTACCGGGAATTACTGGTATTTCCCAGGAAATACTGGGAAATAAGAAATAGCTACATATTTCATTCATATTGACATGTAGGACACCTTATTGACTAAGATATCTTCCTGGTATCACTGTCCCTGATTAAAAAAATCTGGTTTCCAAGTAATTAATTTTATATAATCATAACACAGCATACTCATATAGCAGTCATGAGTGTCATTTGTTCATATAGCAGTCATGAGTGTCATTTGTTTCATGCTTAAGTTAGCTGTAGTCTGTAAAGGTCCATGAAATGAACCCAAAGATCCCATTAGGGTTTTTTATGTTACTTAAGAAGGATCTAAGTAAATTCTTAAATGTAGAGTATGGTATAAATATCAAACCTAAGAAGAAGCCTTTTAGTTCTACTCAAGGTAATTATATCTCAAAACAGGAGAACAAAACTGTCCAGAGCAATTTGTTAAAACAACATGTTTGATTGTAATAACCATAGTCTTTATAGAAGGAGTAAAACAAGATTTTTTTTGTTCTTGGATTTATAGTTATTAATAAACTTAAAAATTTTTACAAAACTGATATGAAACATGAATTGGAAAACTTCAGTTTTATACAGCCATGGAAATGTTTCAGAATGCTTGTGGGTAGGGGACTTGGAGTAGTGATACATTCTGAATGTATTTCATTACAATTTGAGACATATTCCATATCATTCATCCTTTTTTTACGTTTATTTTATTTTTGAATTTTGTATAAGATTGAATGAATTAAAGAAATAAAAAACTTTAACTTTGTATTTCCCAGTACTTCCCAATATTTCCCAGTTTAGAGAAAATTTGTAGTATTTCCCAGAACGGGAAATACCGGTATTTACCACTGGTAATTCCCACCACTGGTATTTCCCAGCCAACCCTATTGAGTTTTGAGTAATCTCTCTCTCTCTCTCTAACATCTATTTGAAAATTAAAATGGAATGATAAGACAATTTTTTTTAAATTGATGAATTTTTAGGATTTTCCACTAATTCATACTGCAGCAAGAATGATATCCCTCCCAGAAATGTAAAAAAAAAAAAAAAAAAAAAAAAAAAAGTTTACTCACTATCTTGTCTTTGATCTATATCAATAATTAAAGAAGGAAACAGCCAGAAGTCTTTTATCGGAACTCCTATAAATTTGCTCAAGATAAATATTTTCAACAGGCTTGGAAAGTACTCACTGTGAACAATCACCTGGCTTGTTGAAAACTGGTAAACATACCCCTTAAGGTATAATAATTATATATAGGCCTGCACAAAATTGAAAAGTCAGGATTAAATCATTATCTTAGTTAAAATAACAAGAAACACACTAGAGGTGTGATGAAATATTTACAAACACAAAGTTTTATTTCTCATATAAAATATTCTTTCTTGTGTAAAACAATTGTTCAAATGAAGAGTCATACCTTCTGTTAAGGGGAGATAAGAATGAGTGAAAATTTAATGGTATTTCAAAAATTGTCTTCTCAAGAACCAATGGGCCAGAAAAGTTTAAAATTCTGTGAAACTTCATTACTTAGTGTAGATTCAACTTTGTCCAAATCGTGACCTTCAGGGGAAGAGTGGGGCCGCAATAGGGGATCAAAGTTTTGTAAACATGGGAATGTACAGTAAAACGCGCTTATAATAGTTACTAAGTATCTGGGACTGACGATTTTGCTTTGTTGTAAGTGTGTAAAATGTAAGAGGAGTTCTGGGAACAAGAGGTTGGTAAAAAAAAACAACATAATTTTCGACCCCCATTTGACCCCTAGGGTGAAAATAAAAATTCCGAAACCTTATTGCACATCTACAGGACACCACCAATCATCTTCCAAAAGATGATTAGGCTACTGCGTAAAAATATAGGAGGAGTTCTGCGAATCAGGCTTTTGTAGAAAAAAAAGTCATTTTTTGCCCCCTGTTTTGCCCCTAGGGTTAAATTGAAAATAAAAAAAAAACCTTATTGCACATCTATATATAGGACACCATCTATTCTATTCCAAAAGATTAATTGAATTCTGCTTAAAATGTAGGTGTAGTTAGATTAAGGAGGCTGGGGGGTCAACAAATTAACCATCAGATATAACTTATTTTTTTAGATATGATATCTTAAGCTGTCAACTATCATTTGGCAAAGAAAAAATTCATACATTTTAGTTTTAAAATTTGATCATTTTTGTATATCTTTATATGGAGCTCTTCTTCTAAAGGAGATCAATATAGTCTAAAAATGGCCACGACCACCCAGCCCTCTTAAGAAGAAAGTATGACAGACGGACGGACGGACTGGTATAATTAACAATTTACCATCATTACATGTTTGTTTTTAAATTATATCCTTTTGAGATTCAAACAGTTATATAAGAACTTATTTTGAAGTGCTGTAAAATAACTTTCGAATTTTAATTTGAGTCGGTCAAGCTTTGGTAAATCTTACTCAGTTTTGTAGAGTGCAACAAAACTACGTCTCAAGTAAACCCAATTTTATGACTAAGCTAAGATTTAAACCCAGCTTACGTGATCCCCGGATCAGCTCTACTTATCTGAGCTATAAGTATCTCTCATATTGCTTTTTCAGGGGTTAGCGCGAACGCAGACCCCTACACTAAAAAATTACGTGCCCGAGTAACCCGCATTTGGGGTTATCGCAGACTTCAGCCAAACCGGAGTGCAATGGTAAGGCCTCGATCTGGGGGAACCACCTTGCTGATCATGGTATCCCCTGCACCAGGTAAGTATGATTAAGCAAGCTTGATGAGCCATTTTATAATAATTGTATCAGTCGTTTTTAAAATTAATGAGTATTATAAAGTAAAAAAGAAATATACAATTTTTGACCAATGTCGTCAAAAAAATATTTAGTTTATTTAAATCTAAATATTTACGTTAATGTATTGTATTTTATTGTTTAAATGTTTTATCCAAGGCTTTTCCTATTTTGTTTATGAACTGAATATTATATTACTG